GGGCTTTCGAGTTTCCTCTATAACCAATTGTTTTAGCGGAATAGCTCATCTTTATCATATACATATTTAATCTGGGTATACAGATCCAATTTCTTAAGCTTGTCAAGAAGAACCTGTTATAGTCTAGGTGTTGTTGAAAGTCAGAAAATCACATCCTTAGAGTTTAATTTCCAAGCAACTGACCTAAACTATATTCATCTACTCGACCATTTCATCTGTAAAGATCATAATCATCATTGAACCTCATCAAAGAAAGTGTGATCTAGTCAGTTTTGTAACATCATACACAAAAGATGCCCCATGTTGTCCGCTCTTATGCATACCTGAATATCAAGCCTCTTGTTCATTCCCTTATGAGAGGAGAAGGTTATATTGGTCCCTGCAAGAAAAGGGTATGGTGTTCGAGTGTATCTTCTGCGGTAAGATCAATGACCTTGTTTTATCAGGCTTCAACCTTGTCATTTTGTCAAAGATTTATAACTCTAATCATTTAAAGAGTTTTTAATTCAGTTGATATTCAAAGAATTTCAAGTTGTAAATTCGATTCAATGCTCACCATCCTTAAAGTAACATGAATTCATTTTAAATATCATTACAAAAAACTGATAATAAAGTTAAAAAACATGTTCAAACAAGATGTTGCAAATGAAATAAAGCTCCATGATGAACGAAATGGTCTATTCCTAATTAGGTGCCCCATTTCTCATCTAATGTAGTAACACCTGACCCAAACAATGCTACATTATGTGCTTTGACGCCCCACTCGAGCTCATCATCCACTGTTTCACAAATTCTTGCGTCAATGTCCTATTTTCCACAAGCATCTCTATCTCCTTTAACAGCGGTCTATAGTTCCCCGTAGAATGCCCCAATGCCCCAAGTGGAAATCACAGACACTATCTTGATCATAGTTGTGAGCAGAAGGGCCCGGTTGCACTTTCACTGGCCTCGGTGTGAGGTATTAACCTTTAACCAAATGGGGATACATATCCGAGATAGAAGTTTGGAACACTTTCAAAGAATTTTTGATCTTGGGACTTTCTTTGGACAACTTGAGTAACCTGCTGCCCCTTTTCTTTTATAGTTATGGGAGCTCTGGATGTGACATTTATTTACTTAATCAGCCTTTTCCTTTTGATCGATTGGATGTTTGGAAGTGACTTTCAAGTTTCCTTTGCTGATTGCATCTTCAATTAACTCTCCAACCGTCATAAGATCCTTGAAGCCCTTCGTTGAATTTCTCAGCATTAACTCAAAGAAAGGAGTTGGGATAGAATCATGAAACATACATGATATTTCTTCTTCTAACAAAGGAGGATGAACTTGTGCTGCCACTCCTCCCCATCTTAGGGCATATTCTTTAAAGTTCTCAGTAGCTTTCATCCTTATCCTTTGAAGGTCATGATGTCTTGGGGGCTAAGCTTTTAACATATCGATATTTCCCAAGAAAAACATAAACTAGGTTTACCCATGTCTTGATCTGCTCTCTGTTCAAATGATTATACCATACTACAACTGGCCCAGCAAGACTATCATGAAAGAAATAAATCAGTAAATTATCATCATTTAAATACCCTTCTATCTTTCTAGAAAACATCTTTAGATGAATTAGGGGACAATTAGTGCCATCATATTTCTTAAAATTAAGCATCCTAAATTCATGTGGAATGACCAAATAAGGGACCAAATTGGGTTCTCTAGCTTCTAAATCCTAGTGAGAGGCAATAACAACCTTCATATCTTCAATGGATTCATTCAACCACTTGAATTCGTCTTCAAATTGCTCATAATTGACGAGGCTCTTCCCTAGGTTTGAGTTAGATGCTCCAGGGTAGGTTATCATTCTTGACGTATTAGTATGATGAGACTAGTATCCTTTATCAGCGATTTCCTCTCTATCAACAATCTTAGTTGCCAACACCTGGATCATTTGATTCGATACACATTGCAGAGAACCCAATGTTTTATTCTTCATACCTTGTTGTGACCTGGCTAACTGCTCTTATAACTGATCTTGTGATTTCTCATGAAATTGCTCCATTGTTTCCATTTGTTTGTTCATAACGATAAGGAGTAGTATGAATGAATGATCTTGGTATTACTGTTACATATCATCCCATAAGTTATTTCCGTGTTTTCATAACTAATGCATACAAAATGCTTAAATTAAAGTAATGTGAATGCAAATGTGGATGCAAAATGCAAAATGTGTTAATTCCAAAAGTGACCACTTATAGAACAACCTTTCATTTAGACAACAAGAATTCAGTAAGTACACCATGTAGTCAAAATATAAATGTGATTCTTCATTTCTTCATCTCCTTGAGTCATTCTCTACATGGAATCTAACATTGCACCCCAAAGTTGTCGGCGTATTTTATCACATTTGATGACGTCGGATGTCCTTAAATTGAATCTTGAAATCTTCATTCTTACCTTCAATGTGAATTGGTCTTCATTTATTTATGAAGGGTCTTCTCGTACTTGGTATGACTATATCTATCTCTTGAGTCAAGAACTTGGCCTTTACACCTTTAAAGGAATTCTCCAATCAACTTCAGATTTCTTCATTCATCGGATGTCCTTCTTCATGGATCGTTTAAACATCTTCAGATCTCCCGGTTTTTACTATATGGTTGAGAATTTCTTGCCTCAATATGGCCAACCTTCTTATTAGTCAATCACTTGTGAATTAACACCCCTAAATGACATGAAGATGCAAAAAATGGGTTAGTACACATAAGATAAACAACAAGATAGTAAGTATCGTAAACATCAAATAAAACCTACCCGCACATACTAGCTACCCAATCATGCTTTAGTAGATCCTACCCAACATGATATCTACCCACATGCTTTGTTTTTCACAAAAAACCCTAACCTCATGATATCTAATTCATATGCTTCATACATAAAAATGAAACCTAACCGCGTGTTTTTCTAGTTCTCACACTTCTTGCAAAAATAAATACATAAGACGGGAAGAGTTTTGGTATCATTAACAGGGTTACAGAATTATCCTTTGCTGGTGCCCCTTGGCTTGCCAGACCCTCGACCTTCACCCATTATAGGCTTAAACGGGTCAACTTCAATTCGAGAGAATACATTTCCCTATGTCTATACGAGGAAAGTCAATGATTCGCTCGTAAACATATGGCATGTACCCCAGAGATTACTTGCTAAAGCCCATGAGGAGAAAAGCAATTTTTCTCACGTAAGCGTAACATTCGCCTCTACCTAACGGGACAGAGCACAGTTAGAAGGCTCTAAATATCGAAAGGTTATAACGACAATGAGGGAAAACTCATAATCCTTTGCCTCGATCCAAGGAAAACAATAGACTAAAGTAAAGCTCAGAAAGCTGAAACATGCACATCACACGTTAGTACAACTATTTATTAGTTGATAAATATTACAAATCAGAATGCAAAAAAAACTTATTTAAAACCAAACAAGGGATCAAAAACCAAATTAGAATGAACTTATAACATTCGTTTACAAAGACAATTAATTAATCGACTATCGGCCTGACTCTCTAAAAAAAATCCACAGTGGAGTCGCCAAGCTGTCGAAACGATTTTTTCCTTAAGGAGTGAGATTTTGAAAACCATACCAATTTTTAATTATTCTCTTACGATTAAAGTTTAATTAAAAATAATGCGATTTTAGAAAGCCTCTCATTTCGAAAAATTGGAAATTCCTTCACGATATAAAACATACAGTTCGAGTCGCCACCAATATTTCATTAGGGTGTGATTGGGCACCCAATAATATTTTGCCAATTTAAATAAAAATAATTTTAATTAAAACGACAAATTTACGGTATACGTTACCAGAAAATGAGTTCAGGAGTCGGTTACGTGTGGGGAAGGATTATCACCCCACAACGCCCTAAATCGGTACCTAATCGATTAATTAATGTCTTTACAATGAAATTTACAAATTTGAATTTAATTTGAATTTTGATCCCTTAAAAAAACAAAAATGTGAATTTTATAATATTCAAAAGCAACGAAATAGGTTAAATTAAAATTACCAAGCCATTAGAAAGATAAAGAATATTCGATTATTTAAACATATTGAGACCTGATCATTAGGTGAGTTCTAATGATCTTTTCTCAACAAATTTAAATAACCAAACATTTCTTTTTATTTCATTCCCAAATTTTAAGGTAAAACTTTTTTAGTGACAATGATGGGATGCAACTGTAATTTAAAATCGTCAAAAACGGCTTTCTAGTGAGTTAAGAGAAGCCATTAAAATAATTTTAAATTAAAAGGGTATTACCCTTAATTCGATTATGCAATTAGTTCAAGTTATGCACATGAGGGTATCATACGAGTTATGCAAAATGACGTATTTACAAACAATTACAAATAAATATATACATGCAGTCCACGAGCATACTAACAACATTTGAATATAGCTTAGAAAAATAAACACTTTAGTAATTTTAAAGACAATAAAAATTAGACATCATCAACACTAAATTATAGAATAATTAAAGAAAACCCGTTTTAATTATCATTAAAGCACATGTATACATATGTATTTATATTAATATCATAAAAGACAAAAACCATAAATATCTAAAAACAAGAGGGGAAAGTTTGAAATAACAAATACATTAAGTAAACATGTCCACAGCTAAAATGCAAATTAGCAAAAATGCAAGCACTTGAACTAGCATAAACCTCACACATTCGTAGGACTAAAAATAAAAACTAAGAAAAATTACATTCCAAATGTTAAATAACATGGAACTACGAACAAGTTAACACAGGACAAAAACAAATGCACATGAAATAAAAGGTCAAATTCGAAAGTTCATAAAATTCTAATTTGAGGAACCAAAATGGACTGGAATAAAATTAAGAGGACATGTAACCTAAATAACCCACACGTTAAATATGGCTGCCCTAAACGCTGCCGTTTTGCGGCCACATACATATAACATATTGGGTAAAAGTTGAACCCTAATCCCATTCCTTGGCTCCGTTTCCTCAACCTCTCTAGTCTCTACCTCTCCCATTCCTTCGAACAGAGAGTTACGAAACTCTCTAAGCTGGCCACTGCTCAGCGGCTCCGATCGACACCGAAACGACGAAGGGGTTCGAATAACCAACCGAACCGACCCTAAAGAAACCTTCCCTCTAATACTCTTTCTTTTCATTCTTGACCGAGACCCCAAAATAAACGAAACCCCAGCAAATCGGCGCGAGCCACTGCATGCTTTCCACCTATGTTCTATACCTCAAATCGGACTCCCAATATAACGCCGATCTCCTAAAAACCTAACAGACTCTCGACGTTTCTCTTGGAGGATGATCTCCATCTTCCACCTTCATAACTTCGATGGCTACAAACGCTGGATACGACGGCTCCTTACTACAGACAAGGCCACTAATGGTGAAGCCCTTAAGACCTAGGTAACATAAGGATTCTCTTTTCCTTCTACTGTTTTGATTAAAAATATTTATTTACTAATCTCAACTCTTCTTAATGAAATCAGAATGGCGATGAAATGGAGTCAACACGACTCCATCTGAGTTCGCACAACACAGGTAAATATCTAATCCCTATCTATTTTCTATTTATTTCGAAATGCAACGTATACACAGCATGCTAGGAATTGAAAAATGAAATGGAAAATACCTCAAATCACTACCATTTATTTCTGTTTATTCGGGAAAAAACATGAAGTGATGAAGACCCTTTGTTTACATTGCTTGGTAACTGGCTATTGAGAGCAGAACACGCCTCCCCTTGTTTCAATGAACCCCCCTCTTAATTGCCGAGAGCACTCTTCTTTTCTGTTGTTGATTCCCTCTGTCTTGTTTCGGTGTTATTTACTTTCTAATGGTTGATGCTGTCCCCCCTCGGGTTCTTTGGTTGCTACCCCCTGTTCGTGAATTTTCTTCCTTTTTTATAGTCGATGTTTCCTAATCGATACTCTCTTTTCTTTTAATTTTCTAATGGTTTCCCGCTGCTTTACAGTGTGTTATACACCCAATACCTCAGTGGAGTAATGGTGTCGCTTGGTTGGCACGGGTATGATCATGGGAAACATCTGCTAGTGGTAAGGTAATGGGTTATAGAGCTGCTTGGTTGGCATGAGTATGATCATGGGAGACATCTACTAGTGGCAAGGTGATGTGGAGCAGGGCATGGGTCTTGCTCAATTGTGGTGCTTCACATGGGAGAGGAAATGGCACGTGTATGGGCAGCGTAGGAATGTCTTCATGTCGGCAGCATGGGCTGCTGCAACCGGGTCCGGGTCGGGTTGTAACCGGGTCAGACTTGGGCTCCTTTTGGACTCCTGTTGGGTAAATTATTTGTAATATTGTTTGGGCTTGTAAGATGTAAAGGGACTCTAGACACTTAATCTAGATTTTGGATTGAATTTCAATTTCGATTTATATCTCGAATTCCAAAATGAAACATGTATGGTTACAGTCCAATTAAGCACCTAAAGTTTGCAATACTTCCATGATCCATCCTTCATCAATGTCTCCCCTATGTCATTCGAATTAATTCCTCATAGAGCACAAACATCTTCAAATTAATTTTCGATTATCTTCAAATCGATTTAAATGGTTCGGACAAAATTAAGGTATTACAATATTCATCAAAATGGATATCATATTGAGAATATAAATGAAAGAGATATGAAACATTTTCATATTACGAGTATAACTCAAGGCAATAAAATAATATTAGAAATTTTTTTGACTCTGTCTTCTAGATTATACTACACTAGAATTAGTGCAATTAAAGGACATGCTTTTATAAAACCAGAAGTTTATTGATAATTTTATTATTTTTCATGACCAATTAGGCCATCCTGGTTCTAGTATGATGTGAAAAATTATTGAAAACTCATGTGGTCTTTCATTAAAGAACCAACAAATTATTCAATGTAATGTTTTCCATGTAATACTTGCTCTCAACAAAATTAATAATTCGACCATCGCCAGCTAAGATAGATTATGAATCTATTAATTTTTTTGGAATGTATAGATGGTGATATATGTGGACAGATACACCTTCCTTTTAGCCATTTAGATATATTTTGGTTTTAATCGATGCATCAACTAAATGATCACATGTACCCTTGTTATCAATCCACAACTTGGCACTTGTGAGGTTACTTGCTTAGTTAATTAAATTACGAGCACATTTTCCAAATTTTCCTATAAAAGACAATTGGATGTGAAGTATTTAATGATTATTTTATGTCATTTGGAATAAGTGTTGAACATTTTTTTAGCTCATGTTCATACACAAAATGATCTTGTAGACTCATTTATTATTTGCCTATAATTAATTGCAAGACGGTTACCAATGAAGTCAAAACTTTCAATTTCTGCTTGGCGTCATACCATTTTATAGGCAGCATCATTAATTCACATTAGGCTAATAAGTTATCATAAATTCTCCGTATTACAAATGGTTTTTGGTCAGGAACCAAATATTTCTCATCTTAAAATTTTTTGTGTGAAGTATATGTTCCGGTTGCTCCACCACAACGCACATAGATGGGTCCTATGTGAAGATTGAGAATATATGTTGGATTTGAATCCCTTTCAATAATTAAATATCTTGAACCTTTTATAGAGAATTTATTTATAGCTCGGTTTGTTGACTGCCATTTTAATGAGTCAATTTTCCCAATATTAGAGGACAAAATAAACAATTGGGAAAATAAATAAGTTGAAATGAATTATCATTACCTCATTTTGTTCCATGTACCCAAAAATATGAAATAAAAGTTCAAAGGATAATTCATTTACAAAATTTAGCAAATCAACTGCCAAATGCTTTTATTAACCCTAAAATAGTGACTAAACACATATACCAATTGTGAATGCTCCAATTAAAATTGATATCTGGAACGGACAAACTTTAGTTGCTAATAAGTTGCTGGCACACCTGAAGCGTGGTAGACCAATAGGTTCCAAGGATAAGAATCCTATAAAAAAAAGAAAAAGAGTTATATCTAATGATGGTATGATAGAGGAATCTAAAAAGTTTATAGAAGATATTAAAGGATCTTCAGAAGAGAAATTTGATATAACTCAGGTTCCTAATAATAAAGAGATGTTAATGAATTATGCCATGTATGGTATTAAGTGGAATCAAAATCAACTCGACGTAAATGATATATTTGCATATAATATAACACTAGAGATTTTGAATGATAATGTGTATCATGAAATTGTATCAATTGAACAATGTAAACAAAGAAATGATTGGCCAAAATGGGAAGAGGCGATTGAGGAGGAACTAAAATCTCTTACAAAGAGAGAATTATTCAGACATGTAGTCCGTACTCCAAATGGTGAGATATAAATGGGTTTTTGTAAGAAAGAGAAACGAAAAAAAGGGAAATTGTGAGATATAAAGCTCATTTGGTTGCACAAAGATTTTCTCAAAGACATAGAATCGATTATGAAGAAACATACTCTTCGATTAAAGACACAACTACGTTTAGATTTTTTATTAACCTAAAAGTAAAAATGGATTTACTTTCTGCCTAATGGATGTTGTTACAACCTATTTATATGGGCTTCTTTATAATAAAAATTTGCAAGATTCTTCTAGAAGCAAGAATATTATTTAATCAAATTTAGTAAATCTCTTTATGGATTAAAACAATCTGGGTCCAGACGGTTTAATCTCCTTAGTGAGGAATTATTAGTGGAAGGTTATAAGAATGATCAAATTCTCCATGCATTTTTATTAAGAGATTCAACTTCAGATTTGTCATTATTATTGTGTACGTTGATGATTTAAATATCATTGGGATTCTTGAAGATATCTAAGCAGGAATGGAATACTTAAATAAATAAATTGAAATGACAGACCTTAAAAGAAAAGATTTAGTCTTGGATTATATATTAAACACTTGAAGAATAGAATTCTTGTACATCAATGATGAGTTTTCTAGATTGATACTATTTACATGTTAATTTTCCTGTGTTATCTATTTATCACTGTTGATTTGGTTCTATTTTCCTTCTTTTCGTGCAGAGGTCTATTTTCCAGAAAATATCAGTAAAAGTGATGATTTTGTAGTTTTTATTTTCTGGAATCGTGGCTGGACACACTGGGCACGATGCAGTCTGACGTGGCAGTTTCTAAAAGGTCTAATCAGTATTGGGAAGATTCTGGAAGTAGCATAGTCAACACAACCCGATGATATCTTTTAGGAAATCTAGTTTTAATTTTGAATTTAAACATTTGGAATTATCTTTAGGATTATTTTTGCATTTTAATTAATTTGCTATTTTAGGGATTTAAAAACCTATAAATACCATCCTTAAGGGATCGGCTAAGGAATGGTTATTTAATTTACCACCAAATTCCATTACTACCTGGGCAGACTTAACGAGTGTTTTTCCTGACAGAGTTTCCCAATAGAAAAAGCAAGCAAACTGAGGAGAAACATCATGGGAATTCCACATAATGAAGGAGAGTCACTATACGATTATTATGAGCAGTTTAAAAAGCTCTGCGTCAGTTGTTCGCAACATGACCTTTCTAAACAAACGCTCTTTCAGTACTTTTAAGAGAGAATACTTCTGATAGAAAAAATATAGTAGATATCGCCAGTGGAGGTTCTCTCGTCAACATAACTTTAAAAGCAGCAAGTAATTTAATTTCCACATTGGCTGTTAATTTACAACAATTCGGCTCCCCAAGTGAACCCAACCAATGGGTTCACGAAGTAAGTGTTGTTTCACTTGAAAATAAAATCAAAAAATTAACTGATATAGTTAATTCTCTCGTTTCAGAAAAAATTGGAGCAACAAAGGTATGCGAGATATGTACAATTTCGAATCACCCGACATACTACTACACGATGCTACAAGAGGAGTCCAGTGCACAAGTAAATGTTGTGGGTAACTTTATGGGACCACCCTAGAGGCCTTATAACCCATACGACAACATTTTCAATCTTGGATGGAGGGACCATCCAAACTTTAATTATGGGAACAATCAGAGATAATATCAAAATTATCAAATGATGTCACCTCCGCCATAATAACCACAAAAATCTTCATTAGAGTCAATGTTGAGAGGCTAGCTTTGTCTCAAGAAAAATTCCAGAATCGCATAGAGGCTCACTTTTAAGAGCTCGAAAAGCAAATGAGCCAACTAGCTCAAACGGTGGGGTGAATAGAGTCTCAAGGCAGATTACTGTCACAAACTGAACCTAATTCAAGAGAAAATTTTAGCTCAATAACCCTCTAAAGTGGTACCATCATTTCACCTAAGATCATAGAGAAAAATGTCGCACCACCCAAAAAGAAGAAAGAAGCCAAAATGCCCCCTCCGCCTAATTCAAGTAAAATCGTATCTTCCTCTTCTCCTTCACCTTACAAAGTTCCACCCTCTTTTCCTAAAAGATTGATGAAGCGAGACAAGCGAGTGAAAGAGAAAGAAATACTTGATGTATTTTGGAAAGTGGAAATAAACATTCCCCTTCTTGAGGTAATCCGAAAAGTGCCGAAGTATGTTAGATACCCTAAAGACCTCTGCACCCACAAATGAACGACTCACAGGAAACAAGAAGGTAAATCTGGGTGAAAATGTATCAGTAGTTTTCCAACGATGGCTTCCACCAAAGTATAAGGACCAAGGCATGTTTGCCACACCTTTCAAGATAGATAAAGTTGGAATCAAGCGCGCCGTGTGCGATTTGGGCACATCGATCAATGTGATGCCCCTCTTGGTTTATAATATGATCTTCCATCGACCCTTTGAAAGAAACCAAAGTCACTATTTAGCTCACTGACAGATCGATTATCTACCTCGAAAGAGTCTTAGAAAACATTCTAGTAAAGGTAAACAATTTGATTTTCCCTACTGATTTATATGCTATTGATATGGAAAATGACTGCTGCAGCACCAGTTCTGAAATTCTTCTCAGTCGTCTCTTTCTGAGTATGGCGCACATGAAGATTAACGTCCAAAACGGTATTCTAACAATGGAGTTTGGCGATGAGATCCTTAAATTCAACGTATATAAAGCTATAAAATACCCAGACAATATAGCGAGCATTAATTTTATTAACATAATTGATCCTTTGGCGAATGAATTTGTGGAAAATAATTTGTCTATTTATCTTTATAGGGAATCGAAGGAAATCAACGAATAAATCAATGAGTTTGATAAAAAAAAATTCTATTCATTTTGATTCAAGTTTGGTTCCTTCTAAATCAAAAATTCTTTCTTCCATTTTGTAGATACTGAAAATGGAGTCGGAACATTTATCGGAACATTTAAAGAACTCGTCTTTTAGGAAAAAATGATGCATTATGTTCCACCGTTTCGGATAAGTTTCCAACGCTAAAAAA